GGCGACCCTCATTACCATCCCGCCTCGCCAACTCCAACCAATTTCAGCCCGGGAGGGCAATGGGCAACGCCTGACATTGGTCGGTATGGTTTGACGTACAGCGATCCAACTTGCGATCCTTCATTCGACGCCCTCTCCACCTCCCTCTTGACGCCCACATCGGACCCTACCTCCCCGACCGTGGCATCGCATACGGACCCATCCCACACCCCGAGGTACACAACGTCGTCGCAGGGCAAGCGTCACCCGGACGAAGAACCGGGCGCTGCGCAGACCCAGCCCTCGCCTCTGAAGAAGCCGCGCACTCACCTGGAACCGCCTCGATTCATCTCTCTTCCAAAGGCGCCCCCTCCTTCGGCTATTTTCGCGAGACGGAACCAAGGGCTCATCTCCCCTCTCTTCTTCTCCTCCTCCAGGACCCGACGACAGATGCCCCCTCGGCCGAACCCCCTCCCCCCCTCAGACGCCGCAGCTGTCCTGCTGGCCCGTTTGAGGGAGGACAACGAGGGAGTCCACACTGTTCGCCTACCCCGCGGCACCGTTCATACGCAGGGCCCGGCCAGATCCGGTAGCACTCCGGGGAGCAGTAGCTTGTCGTCGTCCGCAGATGCCACACTCACGTCTTCGGCAAAAAGCCCAAATAACCAAAATCTTCCGCAAGGGCTGCAAATATTAAGGGGAGTCGGGGTGGTAGAGCTCCTGGAGCAGGACGAACGTCCGACCTTTATTATCGATCTCGCGAATCCAATCAACTTGCAAAGGACGGGACTGCACTTGCTGTATGCCAACGCGGCACTCCGCGCTTCGGCAGGAGTCCTGGAGCTGCTGTCTGTAGAGGGCGACGACGCCGCCAAAAACCCCGACTATATCCTTTTCAAAACATGGGCCACTAGTTTTGTACTGAACCACGAATCGCTCGACGTATGTCTTCCTTCTCACACCTACGGAGGCATCACATGGACTTGCTCGACCCTGCGCAAACGCTTTCGCTTCGTGAGCGGAAACACGAGTGCCGTATCGACCGCTCCCGACTCCCCCGCCCCTCTGGCCGAAGAGTCCGATGTTCTCGAGCAGCGGAGCAGAGGCCCGACACCGAGCCAACAATCCACCGCTGTACCCATGGACGACGAACCCGACTACTTTGGCGACATTGAATCCGACCCTCATGGCGCCGAGGACGCTTCACTCGTGACCGACTGTGTGATGAGAGACAATGGTGAGAAGTATCACTCGGACGAGTTCACTCAGCAGGTGTTCCAGGCGGCCATGACGAAGCCGTCTTTCGACTGGACCCGCATCCAAGCCACCCCAGATTTGGACGACCACATCCTCTTTTGTCGAAATACCGACTGGGCGTCTACGCCCCTCGGCCCCATAGAGCAATGGAGTCCAGAACTGCGAGCCATGGCCAACATGGTCATGGGTAGTCCGCACCCGGCCGCCATGTACTGGGGAACAGACAATATTACTCTGTACAACGAGGCTTATATTGAACTTGCCGGCCAGAAGCACCCGAAGCTCATGGGCATGCGGTATCAAGACGCTTGGTCAGAGATATGGGACGACCTCGAGCCTGTCATTGCCAATGCGTGGACAAACGGCCAGTCAACTATGAAGAACGATAACCAGCTCTTTATAAAGCGGCACGGGTTCGTGGAGGAGACCTTCTTTTCGTGGTCCATCATCCCGTTATTAGGCAGCGATGGCGAGGTTGTCGGACTCTACAATCCGGCATTTGAGAACACCCGTCGTAAGGTTAACGAACGTCGCATGCTCACGCTGCGCGAAGTTGGCGAGAAGACCGCTTCTGCCAAGGATGTCAAGGGTTTCTGGTCACGGGTAAAGGAGGGTCTGGAATTCAACGACCTGGATGTGCCGCTCGCCCTCATATATTCTGTCAGGGATGACAACAGCGAAAGCGAAGTGTCTTCCATGCACTCAGGGAGCATAGCGCACCCCCCACTGTTGCATCTCGAAGGCAGCCTGGGCGTTCCTGAGGGCCACCCAGCAGCCCTCAGCCTCCTCGACCTCAAGTCCTCAGACGAAGGCTTCGCACCTTACATGCGGCAGTCAATGACGATGCAAGGTGCACCCATCGTCCTATCGGTAGATGCAGGTAACCTCCCGACCAAGTTGCTCGAAGGCCTGGAATGGAGGGGTTTCGGCGACCCGTCGAGGACGATTGTCATCCTTCCCGTCCATCCCACGACGGCCGGTGAGTCTGTTGTAGGTTTCATCATCTTGGGCACCAATCCCCGTAGGCCGTACGACGATGAATACCAGCTCTTCATCCATCTCTTGTCAAGACAACTAGCGACGTCAATGGCATCGGTCGTGCTGTTCGAAGAAGAGATAAAGAGGGGCCAGAGGGCCGCTCGTTTGGCCGCGTTGGATCGTCAGGAACTACAAATGGAGCTGTACCAGAGGACGCAAGAAGCGGTCGAAAGTGAGTACAAGTTTACTCGAATGGCGGAATTCGCCCCGGTGGGCATATTTATCGCCAACGACAAGGGTCTCATCAACTTCGCCAACGACATGTGGTGGCAGATCTCTCGACACCCGAGGACAGAAGACAGCGCCAACACGTGGATGCAAAGCGTGATGGACGAGGATCGCCCGGGGGTCGAGCGCGCTTGGAGGAGACTAATTGACGAAAAAGAGGCCATGACGATCGAGTTCCGCTTCAAGTACAGCCGCCAGAACGGCGTCAACACTATCGATACCTGGGTGTTGATGAGCGCTTTCCCCGAGCAAACCGAGGAGGGCAATCTTAAGAGCATCTTTGCCTGCATCACAGACATCTCGCCTCAAAAGTGGGCCGAGGACTTCCAGAAGCAGCGTAGAGAAGAGGCAGTCGAGCTCAAGCGCCAGCAGGAGAACTTCATCGACATCACCAGTCACGAGATGCGCAACCCGCTGAGCGCCGTTCTCCAGTGCGCCGACGAAATTGTCAACAGCATCGCCGAGTACCGCTCGCAGCCGCAGGACGACAAGCAACTCGAAACTCTTCTTGAAGGCTGTACGGAAGCCGCCAGTACCATCAATCTTTGCGCCAGTCATCAAAAGCGCATCGTCGACGACGTGCTTACCCTGTCGAAGCTTGACTCGCAACTGTTGCTAGTGACCCCGGTCGATTCTCATCCCGTTACGATAGTGAGGCACGTCATTAAGATGTTCGAGTCGGAGCTGAACACTCACGAGATCCAACTGGAGTTCTCAATCGACCAAGCCTACGTTACTCATGGTGTCGACTGGGTCAAGCTGGATCCGTCAAGGCTGAGACAGGTCCTGATCAATCTCATGACCAACGCCATCAAGTTCACCCAAGGTCGCGAGAAACGCCTGATCACGATGAGGATGAGCGCCTCCAAAAACATCACCGAGGTCACAGAGAAGGGCGTCTCCTTTTTCCCAACACGCAAGGAGGACGTTCGGGCCTTGATTCAAGAGAAGGACTGGGGCACTGGAGAAGAGATCAACCTTCACTTCTCGGTGCAAGATACAGGGCCGGGTTTACGCGAGGACGAGAAGAAGCTTCTATTCCAGCGCTTCTCCCAAGCTTCACCCCGCACCCACGTGCAATACGGCGGATCGGGTCTAGGCCTCTTTATCTCGCGGATGCTGGCCGAGTTGCAAGGCGGGCAGATTGGCGTCGTCTCTGAAAAGGGCATTGGAAGCACCTTTGCGTTTTACGTCAAATGCCGCAAGACGCCAACGCCAAGCTCAGAGTCGGCGACCCTTTCAGCGCTCAACCTAGCCCGGCCCCAGAAGGGTGGAACCGCCGCCCCGGCCCCCCCAACTCTTCCGCCTACAACCCTGCCCAGGCGAGCGTCTTACAAGAACTCGGTCGTCGCAGCGCCGCCGCTTTATGACGTGCTGATTGTGGAAGACAACATTGTGAACCAGAGAGTTCTGCGAAAACAACTCCAGAACTGTGGCAACAACACTCACGTTGCGAACCATGGGGGTGAGGCTCTCGACCAGCTCAGAAAGTCTCGATTTTGGGCCGGGCAAGAGGCCGAAGGATTCGATCTTAGCGTTATTCTCATGGACCTGGAGATGCCGGTTATGGATGGAATGACGTGTGCCAAACGCATTCGTGAACTAGAGCGGGCTGGAACTCTCATAACGCACATACCCATCATTGCCGTCACGGCTTACGCGCGGCCAGAGCAGATCGAGAGCGCGAAAGCCGCCGGTATTGTAAGTCGTCCTGTGCTTGTCCGCTACGAACCCCACTGACCTTTCTTTCTAGGACGACGTGATTTCCAAGCCATTTAGAATACCAGACTTGATGCCCAAGATCGAAGAGTTGGTCTCGAAATACAGGGCATCAACCGCTGTACCACCTGTGGCCTCGGCTTGAACAGTACTGGGCTCGGGAGGCGGTCTCTTTCTTGAGCTTGCTGATTGCAAGCTGTTATCTCACCAGCATCGGGGGAGCCTATGGATTTGGATCTCGGACTTGGAATTCCCGGCATCGACTCATTTATTCTTCGTCAGCGAGAACCTCCCGTTATGTCAGTCGTGTTTGGTAAAGTGGCATTAGACGAACAGACAGAAAGGCGTTCGGGGGGCAGGTTAACTGATCTAATAAAAAAAAAACCAACTTGGGAGGACGAACTGGCTTTTTCTGGTTATGGGAACTGCATTTTGTGCGAGAGAGAGAGAGAGAGAGAGAGAGAGAGAGAGAAAGCATCCTGAGGAATAAGGCTTGGAATACTGCGGGTGGGAAAGCATGAGAACGAAGATGAGCCACGGGTAAAATGTACAGGACAGGAGACCCGACTGACGATGGATGCCGTACCTATATCTTTTGATACTCGCCAAATCGGAGTATCCTAATGTGAAGATACATATCCTAGACCCTACAGCCTGGTTTGGTCATGACAATGTGCACATTATGATTGCCATGAGCTTTTGGCCATTCAGTAAGTGGCCTGAGGCGTTATAATACTAAGGGGGTACCTGGGCAGGTCCGTGTCCAAATCAATTGGCACCCATCCCACTCAACAGCTTACGTAACGAAGATTTTTCTCAGATGGCTCCTGAGATTGATGATTTTAGCAAGGACGCTCACCACCACTTTGGACAGACAACGATCGCGGATCTGCCGCCCCCAATCCGCCCAAAAATGCATCAGCAGGCTCTGCGATCGGCCGGCAGCCGTATAAAGCCTGAAGTCGTCGCCATCAAGACATGCATCCGAACCTTTTCCACTACGCAATTGCGCGCCGCAGACGAACCCTCCTCCGACAACAAGGGCAATGGCAGCGTTGCCCCTTTCAAGAGAGGGCCCCTCTCGACCGGACGAGAGCGATCCCGCGCCGCGTCTAGTGAGATTGGCCAGCTTCTAAGAGGCGGACCCCGTTCCGGCGGAGCAAGCAACAATGCGGCCGGCGGCGACGCGAAACCCAATGTCGTCGGTATCAGGACCCTGCCCAACCGCGGCGGCCTCGGCGGAACCAATTTCGTGAAGTTGCCGCAGGCATTCGGGCACGGCGGACGCGGCGGACGCAACCTCCCCTCGGGGTTCTCCGAAGGACCTAGCCGGGGCGGCTTCGGCGGCCGTGGACGTGGTGGCTTCGGTGGACGTGGTGGCTTCGGCGGACGAGGCGGCTTTGGGGCCCGTGGGGGAGGGACAAGAGGACGCGGAGGCCGTGGCGGCGGCGAAGGCCGTGGCGGCCGCGGCGGCCGAAAACCCACAAGAGAGGGCGAGGACTGGACCAACGAGGAGGATAGGAAGGCCGACCGCGCCTCGGTGTACGAGCGCTTCTTCCGCCCCGAGACAGCGGAGGAGCACACCTACATCCGGGCGCGCGACCAGAGGTTCCTGCCCGAGGCCTTCACCCCCTCCGTGAGCGTCGAGGGGCTGCTGGGGTTCACCCCGTCCTTGCCAGTAACCAGCGCATCATCTGCCGTCGCCGCGCCGGCCGCCGTCATGCGATCCCTCCGCGATGTGGCGGGCGGTGCGCACTACACGCCCGACCACTGGTCCAACACGCAGCGCACGACAACGGATCTTATGCTCCAAGACAAGGGGACGTACTTCTTCAGCGACCTAGCCGAGAGAGACAAATTCCTCGGGGACGTGCGGGCGGCGCCCGAGGACGATGCGGCAACGAGCGCCAAGGTCAACGCCTTGCTGGCCACGAAGGTCGAGGAGGGCGCGAGCCAGGCCCTGCGGGAGTACATCATCGACCGCGTCGTCAAGGGACGGCATGTGACACCCCAGTTCGTGGAGCGGGGCAGCCGGGACCCGGTGAACATGGCGAGGGAGTCGCACCTGGTCAACGAAACATACAGGGAGGTCGATGGGCGCAAGTTTGACGGCAAGATTGCGGCGTTGGTGGCCAAGGGTATGCCTGCTGCTAGGGACAAGACCGCGAGTGCTTAAGGACCTTTCCAACACAATTGTAACCACATAAACGTATGCAGTGGACGAGCGAGTCGAGGAAGACGAGCATTGTAGGATTAGAGGGGAGAGTTGAAAAAGACACAAAAAAAAGTTGTACATTTAGATGCAAAAGTCTCTTCTACTGTACACTATAGACCGGACGTTTCAAGCCTTTTTTTGTTTCTTTCTTTCCTGCCATGCATACCTTGGTAACAGGGGCAGAAAAGATGCCCCGTTTCACAACATTCATGTACATGGCGCTCCCGCGTTCGAGGGAGGGTTTCTCCAGCTGTGAGAAGAAGGACCAACTGAGAATTCGTCAGAGATCAGCCTCAGCCCTGGATCTTCCTGACGGCCTGCTGCTCCGCCGCGTCGACGACCTTCATCTCCTTGTCCTGCAGCTTCTGCAGCTCCTTGTCGGCCCGCTTCTTCAGGTCGGGCACGATAGCCCTATCCTTCTGCCACTTGGCGTGGACCTTCTTGCGCTTCTCTGTGACGGCGCGCATCTTCTCCCGCCAGGCCTGGGCGGCGTCCTTGGCCCGGCGGACGACGGCGTCCTTGTTGGTCGCCTCGACCTTGAGGACGAGCTCGAGCTCGTTGTCCGGGTCGCGCTGCGGCTGTTGGTTGAAGTCGGGCGAGGCCTGGACGGCGGCCATGACGGGCTTGATGTATTCCTTCTCGTGGAGGAGGAGGGAGACGGTACGGCCACCGGGCCGGGGCACGATCTCGGCTAGCTCACGGAGGGGGTAGGTCGTCGGGTCCTTGCGGTTGGGCTGGACGGCCAGGGCGCCGATAGCGTCCGGGGAGAAGCGGTCGCCAGACTGGAGCAGCTTGAGGACCTCGGTGTGGTGGGCGGCGAGGGACGCGAGACGCGAGGCGACGTCGGCGAAGTTGAGGGGGTCGGCCGGGTCGGGCTTCGGGTGCTTGGAGCCGGGGAGGTCGTCGTGGTCGGCATCGTCGACGGTGTGGGAGGTCCGAGAGACGATCTCAGCCGAGTCGTAGGTCGGAGACTGCCGGGACTTCCTCTTCTCCTTCTGGAGAGGGGCAGAGTGCGAGAAGGGGCGTGTCGCGAGAGGGGCTGCGGTCGTCGTCGTCCTAGTCGGCGCGAGGGCGTCGGACGCTGTGATCAGGCGGGCCGCGAGCGGCGCCTGCGCCTGGCTGTGTCTTGGTCAATTGGGGGTTTTCCTTGTCTGCGCGGGATCTGGGAGGAGGGAACCACCTTCGAGAAGCTTGTAGAATGCCATTGGCGCCATGTAGGAGCGATCTGGGTGCGCGGAGACCTCGCATGGTGTGCTGTTGCGGTGGTTTTGGTGTTTTGTTTGCGGGAGAGCTTTTGGAGCTTCTCGTTTTGCTCGGCGTGACGTCCGTACCGAGCTCGGCTGGTGGGTACCGTGCGAAGCGGGTCATCATTGGGCGACGAAAAGTGCCCACTTCGCTGAATACTGCTCTCTATCCGTTCTTTCACCTGCACTTCGAACCAACTGCTCCAGGTGAGATAAAAAGCACAAGCAAGATGGAATACATCTTGAAGTATTTAATGGTGCTTATCCAATTATTTTAAAGGGTGGTTTGTGGCGACCTTAGCTCCAAGATCTGGAGGTACGTGAATCCTCTCCCTCGGCCATTGCAGATCGAAATTAGATGTATACATATATCAGGACATGCCTGAATTTCACAAGCAACACGGTCGATTGGCCCAGCGGTTCAAGGCATCTGCTTTACACGCAGAGGATCGCAGGTTCGATCCCTGCATCGATCATGATATCTATTTTTGCATTTCCAACACACCTAATGGTTTTGCGCTCCGCAGCTGTTTTTCTGCAATTGATCATTGCTGAGGAAAGAGCACTGGCCGGATGTGCCTAATCCTTTCTCCATTGCTACTTCGATTAGTGTTCCCTCTCCGTTCTTAAGCCGCTCATTTTTTCGGGGTCTATCATTTTTGGATGCGAGGGGCGAATTGTAAGCGTATCTCCCGCCCTTAGCACCACCCTCTGTTCCTGCCGGTCGCGCTTTTTCACAAGCACGCGACGTCAGTGGGAGGAGGCTGACCATTCATCCACCACCAACTCTCCCGACACCCGCAAACCCGCCAAAATGGAGATTGAGGTCGACGAGGACCTCTTGCGGACGGTCGCGACGGGTGGCCAAATGGATTAGTATGTCGGAAAGAAAAACGCCCCCCTGTCTCGTCATCCTGATGCTCAGCTGCTAACCACGAGCTGCAATAGCGGTCTATGGCCCGCCCTATCGCAGGGAATCATCTCGAGGCTAGATAAGGTACGTCCGCCACGTCCATCTCCCCAACCATCCCGTCTCGAATCGACCGGCTCGTCCGAATAACTCCATGGCCGCACATGTTTGGAAACCTTCTGGGTAGGGCGCGCTCACCAGTTCGCATCGCGAATGTCTAGATCGCCCATAATGAATTTCCTATTCCGAACCTGCCCACCCCTCCTCAACCAATTAACGCGTCAGGTCAACAACCGCGACTCCTCTCGCCGCTCCCTTCCTCCTCCATCGAACCCGCCAGCAGCCTGCCCTCCTCGCAGGACGCCGACAAAGAGAACAGCAAGTCCAAAGTCCCGTCGTCATCGACGATCCCCGTCGTAAGCGAAGCCGCCAACACTGCCGCCGATGCATCATCTGCCGCCGCCGCCCCGGGGTCTCTCCCCGCCCAGATCGTGGCCATGCTCGAGGAGATCAACACCGTCCTGTCGACCTTTCCCAAGTACCCGCCGCATACGATCCAACGCCTTGCCGAGCTTGTGCTCGAGCCGCGCCGCCATTACCGCCACCTAGCCTCGTACCTGCACGCCGTCGACCGTGTGGTTCACGTCACCAGCGGCGCAAACACCTACCCGCTCCCGCCGGCCATCCCGGACATGTCCACCATGACCCTGCTGTCTAACGGCGGCGCTAATGGCCAGGAGAACCCGGCCGCGGCCGTGGCCTGGAGCAACTCGACGAACTCGGTCGCCTCAACCGTCGGCACGGACGAAGCTCTCGGTGGCGCCCTACTAACCCCGATTCCCTGGCTCACCCGCCGTGGGAGCCCGGGATCTTCCTCACCGGGCTCTTCCAATGGGGGCGGCCCGGCCGAGATCCGCACCGAGTCGACAGAGACCATTGACGGTCCTAATGGCGTCGGCAGTATCGAGACGGTCAGCGTTAGCGTCAACGGCATACCGTCCATGGGTGCGAGCAACAGCAACCGCGCGATAACACAAGGTGAGTTACTGCGACAGGAGCAGGAGCAGGGCGTCGTTCCAGTCAACCAACTAGTGCGACAAGCAGAAGAAGCACAGCATGCCGCCGCCCTGCGGAGCGGGGACGACGGCAGAGCCGCCAGCCCCGAGCGGCAGGACCAGGAACAGCAGGGGCGGGAGCAGGACACCGGCGCCGAAGAAGAGAACGAGGTTCCGCACGCTCGCGGGCCCGAGGAGATTGGCGTCGGCGACCTCGGCCCGCAGAGTGAGACGACAAGCTTCACCAGCGGCGGACCCGGCCTCGAGATGCAGGGCATCGACGTCGAGGCCGCGGTGGGCCGAAAGGCCGAACAGACGCACACCACGCCCTCGCTCGAAGACGCGGAGAAGGAGAACACCGCCACAGCCGCCACGGAGGAAGAGGGGCCTGTCGAGGCAGCCGTCGACGACGCGGCGTCCGATACGAGCGCCACGTCGCATCCGAAGCGCGACGCCGACGAGGAGCTCGACGGCCTCGCGAGCAAGAAGGTCAAGGAGCATGAGGGCGACGTGGCTGGGGGCGCGCCAGAGGCCTCCACGGCTGACTCGCCGGGGAAGGGTAAGAAGGAGGAGGAGGAGGAGGAGGGCAAGGCGGTGAAGGACGGGACCGTGACGGCTGGAGCCGAGACCGCCGCAGCTGAGCCCGACACGAAGACGGAGGACACCGCGGCGGACAGTTGAGGGGGGTGCGTCGTCGCACGTTTGATGTTTTACTAGGGGAGTTGTCGCCGCGTTACGTGTTGGGGGGAGAGACTATGATACCATGAACCGCTTCCACCGGACCCTCGCCAACCCCCCGTTTCCTATCGAGCTCGTTCCCGAATCGCTGAGTGTCGTGAATATATGTTTTTTGGCGCGTTTAGTACAAATGTACATAGTGAAAACGGACACGCAACGTGATTCGACCTACCCTCTTGGCTTGGAGCAAGAAGGGGTTTGGGGATACAAAACATTACAAAACGGCGTGAAAGTAAAAGTTTTACCAGTCGATGAGGTGTCATTGTGCAAAGGCTCAAATGCTGGGATTTTGGCACAAGTAGGCCCTCTCCACTAACTACATGAGCAATTAGGTATGTGGCATTGAAGGCAGAAAAAACAAATAACCCCCCTCCATTCCAGACGCCGTACTTGTCATGATCCACATCGTAAAAGCGAGCCCACGGATTCCCCAATCGCCAACCCAGCGCCCGCGTACACCCCATCATGTAATGCTTTACAAAACCCTCGTGATGCTCTCCTTCGTAATGACGCTGTTCTGCTTGTCGTCCCTCCGGACGCGGAAGAAGCTGTCGCAAAAGTCGTTGCAGCGCATGTGCCGCAGGAACTCTTCGTCGTGGGTGATGACGATGAGCTGGAAGTTGCTTTGGGCTTGGCGGGCCTTGATGATGGCGTGCAGGCTCTCGGCTAGGCTCTTGATGTTGTCCTTGTCCAGGTTGGTCGTCGGCTCGTCGAGAGCAATGAGGCCGCAGTTGACGCCGAAGCTCTCGGCTAGAGCGAGGCGGATGATGATGCTGGCGAGCACCTTCTGGCCTGCCGAACAGCGGCCGCGCATATCCATCTCCGTGTCTTGCTTGACCATGCAGACACGGTAGTTGTACGAGCGCCGGCCCGTCGTCGCGTTCTCGTTGTCGGAGCGGATGAGAATCGTGTCAATATCGGTGCCCTGATACGTGCTCTGCCACAGTTCGCCGGCGATGCGATTGACCTCCTCCATCTTCAGGCTGTGATATCGCATGATGGCCGTGTCCAGGGCCGAGATGTACCGGCCCAAGTCTTCGATGGCTGCCTTGGTCGTCTCGACCTTAATGTGCGACTCGCGGTATTTCTTGGCAGCGCTCTTGTACTCTTGCTCCCACTCGAGTAGGAGCCGCTCGAGTTCCTCGTCCTTGGTCTTCATCTGACCCATGATGGAGCCGCGGTCGGCAACCAGCCGATTGTGGCGGTTTTCCAACTGTTTCGCTTCGGTGATCAGCGTCCTGTAGTCCTCGTCGGCGTCGCGGGACTCCAGCTCCTCGATGTCTCGACGGAGGATCTCGAGCTGCAGCAGATTCTGGCGGTACTTCAGGTTGTTGCTGATGTTCTGCTTCTTGCGGTCGCCATTGTCAATGTCCTGCTTCAGCTTATTGGTTCGCACAGTCAAGTCCGAGATTTCCTTGTCCAGCGAAGCAATCGACTTCTCAAGACTCGCGATGGCACGCTGATTCGCTGCCAGATTAGAGGGGCCGCCGCGGTCAATGTAGTCTTGGATGTCGTTCTCGACCATCTTCAGCTCCGTCACCGAGTCAGCAACTTTGTCTCGCTCTTCGGCAATAGCCTGCTCCTTTGCACGACCACGCCGCAAGGTGTCGTCTCGGACTGATCTGGCCTCAGCGATCTCGGGCTCGATGGATTCCAATTCCTGATCAGCTCGGCTGATCAGATCTCGCTGATGGACCTGGTCCTCCTTCAGGGTCTGGATCTGATTTTGGAAGTCCTTCTTGCGCTCCAATTGATTGAGGGCCTTGCTCAGGTTGTTTCGGAGCTCACTCTTCTCCAGCTCGAGCGAGTTGATCAGGTCCTTCATCCGTTGGCGATCTGACGTCGTCTTGGAGATTTTGTTCTTCATTGATCTGATTTGCTCGTTGCAAGACGCTTGGAGTTCGTGGATCTCGTCGGCGCTTCTGCTGACCGTGCCGGACGACTGTTGAGTCATAATTCTGTCGACCTGCGCCTCGGAGTCCCTGATGTCCTTGAGGGCTTGGGTGATGCTGATGACGGTCTTGTTGAGAGACTCAATATCGGTCAGCTTGCCTTCCTCAGCACTGACGATGGCATCGTGCTCCTCCAGCTGTCGTTCCAGAGTTTCGCATTCAGACGAAAGGAAAGCAACCTCTTCTTCCACAGAAGGGAGCTCTGCCATCAGTCTCTGGTATGTCTCGTACTGCGCCTTGACCTTGCGCAGGGAATCAAGTAAGGCAGTGGAGTTGGCAAGATCCTCCTCTGCTTTTTCCTTCTTGTTGGGGTCAAGGAACTTGATTAGCTTGTCTGAGAACCGAGACTTAGAGACATTCGATTTGTCATCGAAGCTGCGGTCGCAAAGTCGACACTTGTTCTTCTCCAGCAGGGTCTTCTGGCAGCCGCGGTAGTAGTCTGCCAGGGCGTCCAAGAGGC